CCGAAACTGTCTCTTGTATTCTTTTTCGGGCAATGGGCGATAAACGGTTATATCAATAAGGTGTTTGTCCATTATCCTAACTTCTAACTACCAAAGAATAGCTACCAACTTTCGTTCATTATCACTAACTGGTAATCTAATGGCGCTCGAATTTAGTAATTCTCTAATTTCTCGCACACGTTATTTTTGTGCGGCTGTGAGGTTAGAGATGTCTTCTTACACGACTGTGGATAAAGGTTTTGAGAACACCTTCCGAAAGGATGCGAAACGTTGCATCAATTTCGACATTGAGGCCTTGCTGTCTGAAGAATGCTCTGGGGAAAGGAGATGATTGTAATAGTGCCATTTCTTCATTTTATCATTTCTATTTAACATTTTTTTGACCTCATAGCTGACTCGATCTTAAAGTTCACATCCACTTTATGTGATCCTATCCACAGTTACTTTAGAAATTGGCTGTGATGGTGAAATACTTGGACCCGATTCTAGTCGTGAGAGTGCTTTTTGAGGCTGTTCCTTCAAACTGAGATGTGTGAATTGCTCAAAAGATTTTCGAATTTTCGTTGCAATGATATTTTGGCATTAATCCTAATAAAATCGCATTTCAATATTGACTCACCAACTATTTTCTTCCGAAGGGCATCCTCCAAATACAAAGCACAAAAATGTTCCTTCGTCGCACACTTCTTTTACGAAAAAAGGGGTGAGTTTTTCTGCAAGCTGTTGATGTTGATGTAATTGGCAGAGAGTTTCTCGTTTTCTTGCAGGTGTTACTGAAGCGTTTGGCTTAGCAAATTGTATATCAGTGTACACTTCCAGGTTCTTAAGAGGGCGATACTGCCGAAACGTCAGCTACTGCTGTATTGTATTGTAGGTTTTTCTATGGAAGCAAGTGTATGGTAGATAACAACCTCGCGACTGCTGAACAACAAAACGACGCATTCTCTTATTACCATAAACTTGGTGTTTTCACTCTCTGTGATTGCCTCATAGTCTTGGCGGGTATGGAAGAGATGGTTTCTGTCAGCGTCGACAATATTTATGTCACGGTGTGTTGGTACGGCAGCTACGGCAAGCAGTATAACTGCTCTCATCTCGAAGTTTTCATATTCATGAGTTTGGTATGAAGAGAGACTTTGACAAACAACGTCAGAGCATTGAACACTTTCGAACACAACAACCCTTTTGCGGTTAGGTTTTTTATATCAGTTACAACCGACTGAATTGTCATTGAACGCTGCAGTTTCTTTGAAATATTTGACATTAGTATTCTACCGATATCATTATGAACATGAGTAGAATGTAAAACCTGATATATACAGGTCACGGCGCGCTCATCTAATAATCAAACAAAAATCAGACAACACCCACGTCCGACTTTGTATTAACCGCGGCATTGATTGAATATTCCCAAGACCGACTTTCTGTTAATCTCGGCATTAATTGATAAATCAGAAAGAAATCAACTACTCAATGTAAAGCACTTGAATCTACACATTTGCCAACGAGAAACGCTTCTGTGTATTCCAGTTGCATTAAATTTTGATGTTCTGGAAGCGGTAAGTTCGTTGAAGCCTCTTTAACGCAAGGCGGTTGGTGACGTATTTCACGCGTAGGAAGTTGTCAGGTACTTGAAGAAGTGTTAGTCGGGGAAGGCGAAAGGTCTGCTGAATATGGCGGATGAGAAAAGCTTGGTAGCTGAACTCGTTCAGCTTCTGCAGCGCTGGTTCCGCAACGTGAAGCCTGGCGTCGTCGTGGGGAAGGATTGGTCCTTTTCTTATGACTACTGCCGGCCATTGTTGTTGAAGTTTACGGTGCATTTCATCGATTTGCTTTTCGCGGTAACCGTTCGTCCCGAATCAAAAAGCTGTAATAAATTAGCTCACCTGCAGACGTACAAACAGTGACCATAAGAACAATTCCTTCTACTTCTGTTCAGCAAACACGAGGTGCTATTTTATACTTTTATTTACGTACAAGCTGACGTTACAGCAGATTTCTCTTTCCTCAGAGCTTGGAAAGGTCAAGTTGACAGCAATCTATTCGGCCAAACTCCTCCATAACCAAACAGGAAAAACGCTGAACCAAGATTTCAATCACATTTAACACCGCTTTGCACACTTACCGCTTTCTATGAGCCCCACTGAGTATGTCGCGTGAGACGTGTGAGTCGTGTGTCATGGCTCTGGCGCGTTTCTACGTGGGAGTTACAATAAGCTTTTTTCGACACAACTTCGGCTTTGAGAAGTGCAGTAGAGCCTGATTACAATCCCACCATTAAGCGTTACGACGCCGGTTTAAATGTATACCTAACTGTGCTTAATGGTTGTCTTACAGGCTGCCTTTAATCCACTTCAAAGGCTGAAAACTGTTATGCTGAGGTTCGCACAATAAGTGGATACGAGACATCCAGAAAGTAATATACATACATATATATATACACATATATATATATATATATATATATATATATGTATACATGCCAACTGTACCACGTGTTGTCTCGCTGACTGTCGAGTTACCCGAGCGGGAACTTTCCTTTTTTTCTGTCGCACGCAAGAGTATCCCAATGAGCTTTTGGTTTAGGTTCTTCAAATTGGGTTTGAGTATCATCCTTATCTTCTACGGTTTTCGCGGAAAACTCCGACATAAGGTCGATGGTTTTCCTGCAGTGCGTTTAACATCGCAAGGAATCCAGTCACCAAAGGTTTCTGCCCATCGCTTGTCGTTTATGCGTACTACGTGTTCGGTTTACTTAATCTTTCACAGTTTGGAATGTAGACCGGCACCATTGGCTTTTTGATCGCTGATATAAATCGCAGCCCCTGATCTCCTCCACGCTTGTGTGAAAGGGGGTACTCCTAAAATAGTCCTTCCGACTGTGTCTTCTATAACACTAAATGATTCTTTATTCTGCTTACGCTGGAACTAGGTTATACGCTAGGGCACAAAGAATCATGGGGTATAAAAGGTAGGCACGGTGTAGGGTGTTTCTTGTTCTTCTTACTGCATACTTGATGCCACTAAAAGCTTCTCAACCCTCTCGTTTCTTCCTTCTGAACCCTAGAGCAAAGCCGTTCATCGTGTTGGCTTTCCAATCTTGATAGACATAACTGGAAATATTCTCAGATGTCTATTCCGTTATCTGTGAATAGCTTATAGTAACAAATCCTTTCCTCACGAAAATCGTTTCTGTGAGATTCAGTCGAAGACCAATCCTTCCATATTCGTTGTCAAAGACGAGAAGCATTTCTGCGGGTTGGATAACGTTTGGAGTTACAAGAATGATGTCGATAGCAAATCGAGGATAGTGTAAATGCACCGCACCGCTTTTCACCTCCGTATTGTCCCTACGCGAAAACTTCTGGATTCCCAAATTGCGCGCACAAGTAACACACAATCTCCGATGCTGCATACAGTGCCAAAAATTCTACAATTTGCAGTACAAATATTCCGAAGAAAGTGACCTTCCTGAACAAAGAGTTCTGCGATCACGTCCGTTTGAGCATGTTGGGATAGATTACTTCGGTCCAATTTCCACACTCAAATCAGTTAACACAGAAGGCAAATGCTACGGATGCATAATCACATGCTCAGCAACACGCCTAATTCATTTGGATATCGCATCAGATCTTTCCACCACGGCAATCATAATGATGTTACGTCACTTTTTTGCAAGACGGGGGGCTCCCAAGTCTATTATTAGTGACAACGCTTTAACGTTTGTACTCGGAAAAACAATTCTTAACGAAGGATTACAAGCAATGCAAAATGATCCGATAGTCCAACGCCAAATAAGTAGTAGAGAAATTCAGTGGAAGCACATTACTCCATTCGCTCTATGGCAAGGAGGATTCTATGAAAGAATGATCAAATCGGTCAAACATTCGTTGTATAAAACAATGAGAACCTCAAAGCTTCCACTCGAGCACCTATCTACAATCGTAATTGAGATCGAAGCTCTGCTAAATACCCAGACTGTGAGTAAACGTAGAAGAATTCTTGCGAGTCATCAACGGTTAGAATAAAGTTACCGACGTACATATTTTTTTACTTCTGTTTCGAGATGGAAACAGTCTTTGTATTTATCGAGATGGAAGATGATCGTTCCTGATAAGAGGAAAGACGAGGTGATTAACCCGAAAATCACGCTGGTAAATCGCAGAGGTTTGATATTGTTCGGAGTAAGTGGCTTTCTGTGATCATGTAGCCACAAGCAGCGCGTGGAACCACGGTCAATTTCATAAATACGTACCTGTAAGAAGGCTTTTTCGACATCAGTGACTATAGCAAAGCGTCCAAATCTGAAGCGGAGCAAAATGCCGAACAGTTCAGGAAGGAGCACTGGCCCTCGATGAAGGAGATTGTTGAGTGACGGACATCCTTTGTGGTGAGCGGACGCGTTATAAACCACTCTAACTTTAGTGTTTTTATTGGGAGTTAGAATTGCTTGATGGGGATTGTAATGGACTCGAGAATCTTTCGTAACTGCTTCTAAGTCGACTTCTTTTAGAATGCTCAAGCGAAGTTGTTCGGCAAATATATTATTGTATTCCTCCATTAATCCGCGATTATTTTGTAGAAATCTCCAAACACTACTTAGTCTACTGAGAGCTACGGCTTTACTGTCGGGTAGTTTAGTAGTGGTTGTTTCCTTCCAGGGGAGGCGTACATAGTTCCTGTTGGATCGTTCTTCGATGGTATGATTGAATTTCTCCCACACTTGTCGGTCAGTTTGCATCCTAATATCTTTTTTGGAATTGGAGTATTCTTCGGTTTGCATGGCGTACATTGTGGGAGAAATGGTACATGCCACCGATGGCGGTGCAAACAAAACGCATTTCGGAAACATCCGCCACTACTGACATCGCACCGTAGACAAGCTGAGAAACGAGATACAATAATCTGCTGATTACTGATGGATGAACGCAAATGTGTGAATGAATGTGATTGAATGAGAATGAATGAGTATGACTAAGAATGAGTTGAGGTGATTGAGGATGATTGAGGACGATGTTGTGAGGAGCGGATTATCCGCGCCACCGATCAGGGGTAAGGTGAGTGATGGCATGTCTCCGCCGTCGAAGGCAGCTGCCCTATATTGGCTGCTGGAGCCGCGTGTGTACGCAAGGGCGGCTAATTTGGACCTGGCACGAAAAATAGTCATTTACAATGGCTACGAAGTAGAGGCCACTCGGGTTAGAGAAAAACGTTAGGTAGTTTTCTAAAATAAAATTTTGGACATAAGCAAGATTTCCTTTAAGTTACCCTTTATATCAAATGAGGTAAATCACGCCATTAAAAGTGTTTAAGAAAAAGTGCTCTTGAAAATTACGTAACGATTACTGGCATTCCTCCCTATACCCTACGCCGCCAGTTAATTCGAAACCGTCTCTAAGATCGTTTGTGCAACTCAGAAAACTGTATGATCCGGCATAATAGGAGAGACGGGGTTTGGATGAGTTTGGGTATAATATACTTGATGACCATTTGTGATCGCATAAAAAAACATATAGATGGGAAGCTAAAATTGGGAATCAAAAACAACGGAAAAAACTCTTGAGGTGTTTTAGATAAATTTCAAAAATCCAAAGATGAACTGGAAAGACGAATGCCTCACTACAGCGCGTGACCTGGCACCCTATTTCAAAATGATATTTTGACCTCGGGGTGTGTTTGCTCGCGACCCCACGTGGACTACGTGTGGGCCATTCCCACCCGTAACATCACGGTGAGTGGCCTTTCTGTTCAGTACGGCGTCTATTTAGAAGTTTATTATTCATGAATACTTTGACCTTTTTTTTCACCGAATAGTAAAAATATTCCAATATAAAATACGTCCAGGCTCTGAGAAAGGCGAAGTCGCCGAAAAGTCAGCAATCGGCCAACAACATCAAAAACAGCGACAACGACAACGAAGATCTGTACCAACCTCGAGTCAGCTTAACAAGATCGGTTCATAAGATCATACAAATAAATATACAGAACAAAAGACTTACGCAGTCGTGCTAGTGAACTATAAAATTTGTTCGAGCTCGCACGGTTAGCTCTCGTTAACTGACCCGCTGAAGCTAGCAATTTTTGTTAAGTTGATTAGTTCCTAGAGATTCGTCAGCAAAAGTCAAAGCAATTTTTCGCCTATCCGGAAGGCTTTTTTCTACGTTGAAAGGCTATCAATCCCAACCGTACTTGCACTCCATTCGCTACCTGAAATCCAAAACCCATAGTGGCCTTCGAACCTTTTTGGCCGTGGATTCGGCCGCTGCTAATGATTTTTTTTCGTCTTCGTCACGCATGTCTATGAATGCTACTCCACTCAATTCTTTTTCCTGGATTTTCCCTAATTGGGCTCTCTGGAAAAGATTGCCCTGTCGCAGACAAGTGTTTCAATATTTCTCCCATACTCCAGAGGGATGACAAGTTTGGTAGCAATGGTTCGGAGTCGAACCAGAGACATGGCTAGTTAGTCTTTCCGTGTAAAGTACGGCATCACTGCCATTGCGTCAACCACCAACTACTATTACTATTGTCTTTCATTGTCGTTAAGGAATGAAACCGAACGGTGCACAGAAGTGTAAAAATATTACATATTTAAGGAGAAAACTTGTGTAAGATCGTCGAGCAGGCATATCCTGTGAAAATGTGTCACATATTCATGCGAAGCAGAATGTCAAATCCGCTAACTCTACAAGCAGCAAAAAAAGCGGGAAAAAGGATGTGGATTAAGCATTTGAGGTGCCATAAGGAGCGAAGACAAAATTTAAAACCTTTTTACGTTTGGTAATTCTAGGCGAAACACAAATCTCAAACCTGTCCGCTTGTCAAGCTGTTTTCGGCGTCTATCTTCAGCACTGCTCTAATAGATGGTAGAAGCTTCAAAGTTGCTCTCTTGGTGGAGCAAATTTTGCAAATCATGATGTTCTGCTGTTGTTTGATGTGCTTGTGCTTCATGTTTGTTTTAGGCATGTTTGTTAGTGTTTCTTGGGAGCAGGTGTTTGACGAAAAATGAGCATTTTGTTAGACTTTGTCCCCTTAAAAGTCACACAACAACAAAACTTGATTTCGCTTCGAAAGGTAAATTAATCACAGAGCGTTCTACTTAGCGCTTCATCATAAATCCTTAGCAGTAGCTCGTTACAGCAGTCTTTCTTTGAAGAGAAATTCTCTTAAGTTCATGATAGTAACTGAAAAAGCCTGTTGATTGCTATTCGGTGTAAAAGCTCTTGAAAGCTGTGAAAGAGAAGAAAGGGTGAAAAAGGTGGAAACAAGTTGATATAAAAGGCTACGAATTTCTGGTCAAACCTTGAACTTCATTTGCCTTGTATAAGAGCCGAGACCGGTTTTCTAAACAACCTTGGTAGTGGATCAGAAGACTTACGAAGGCGGCAGGTTTGCCTACCTAAAATAAAAGAAGTTATGATCTATCGCCTCAAAAAAGGTGGCACTGTTCTTGGTGCAGGTTCAATTTTAAGCTTATTCAGGATTAAAACACCTGAAAAATTCCACTTTGCCCACTAAACTAAGGCAATTTTTCACCTTCTTTTCTTGCGAAAATCTTCTAATGTGGCCGTTTTCATTCCAACTAACAAAGATCCTGTATCAAAGAGCCTTGCTGAAGCCTTATTCGAGCTGTGCTCCACTGAGCATGAAACGATGCCACAACGAAGACCCACATGCGAACAATGAACGGTTAAAGACGATTGACTGGGATCATTTCCGTTCTAGAGAAAG